CACACCACACAAACGAGATACACATTCGCACTCTCCAGCATCAGTTGTTTTCCATTAAAGCATACCTTTCTTTTTTCCAGTTTATTTGTGAAAAAATCAACAAATTCAGTAGTATAATGAAAAACAAAATGGGTGGCCATTGAATTAATTATATAGACTAAACTTGAAATTATTGTCAAATATTGAGAAATCAATTAATATCTCAGCTGAACAAATTGGTAGAAAACGTTTTAAGCAAGCAAATTAAGGTTGATGCATGGCAGACTATAAGAGATATCAACAAAACTTTCAGGCAACCATATTATATATTGTAAAGGTTTCAAGTTAAAGTTGTGTTGATAGTGTGGTAGTTATTATTTTTTAAATAATTTTTATTTTTTATATTAGAATACATGTAAATAATTTTTTTTATTTTTTAAAAATTATTTTTAACATCAGTATATTAAAACGATCCAAAATATATAAATTATATTAAATTTTAATAAAAAATTTGAAATTTTTTAAAATATTAATTGAACCGTATTCAAAAACAATTTCAAATTAAACACTACCTATCAGTACAAGCTCTCTAGGTCTAGATCAAGAGGAAATAATTTCTTATAAATGGGACTCGACGAACTAGCTCAAATATTACATAATTTTGTGTACACGACATCCAAAACCCTAGAAACATGACGGGCATGCACAGGACTGGATGTCAGCATGCAAGAATTGGTAACGGAATATTCTATAATCGTTAACGGAAGATCTCAAAATTAACTGAAATGAATCCCCATACGTGAAGTGGAACATTCTATTTATGCGATGAGCAGTAAGTGAAAAAAACAAATAAAAAATCATCATTTAAAATATGGTCAAGGATGTTCGGTCCAATCCATAAATATTATCTCCCTAGATGCATCCCACGAGGCCACAACGACTACTTTAAACCATGCTGACTTCTCCCTTCGTTTTTTTTTTAATTTCATTTTCATGTCAGCGCTGACGTAACCAACAATATCCAAAACCCATAAATCACTCCCATGGGGAAAAAGAAGAAGCATGACGTCATTGTCACGACGTGGGCTCTCTTGAAGCTGACGTGTATTCAAATCCAGCTTTGAACGACCTGTCGATCTTCTACATCCAATCCTACGCTCAGAAATTTAGACTCTCCATTGAAAACTCCATTCTTTCGCCCCAAGTAAAATGTGTCTCACATGGCAGCATCCAATTGGCTGGATTTGAAAGAGGTGTGGTAGGAGTATATAGGATTGTTGTTTTGACCACACCCAAAAAATGAAAAAGAGTCAACGAGGCCGAACGAAAATGTTAACAGCCGACTTCGAAGTAAGGACAAAAGCTGTGTCGGAAGCAATGACATAAGCAGGAACGCGTGGCAAGTTTTTATTACAAAGTGGAACACGTGTCACCTATCAAAGGCTTCGGTCAGCTAAGGTGGAAATAAATCAAAACCATGACAGATAAACTCCCACGTTTTGACAAGGACCCCACATGCCCTTTTAAAAAAAAAACTGAAGTTTATTTTTTTCGAGTCCTCTGCCTTCCTTCCTTATATAAAGCCTCCTCGTGTCTATCTCTGGGAGAGTATCATAATTCAGAAAGCAAGAGCTAGAAGGAGAGCAGCAGCAGCAGCAGCAGAAGCAGCAAGAACCAGTAGATCTCTCAGAGAGATTCAAGACAAGGAAGAAAAGCACCAAGAACGATTTCAAAGCGGGGAATGAAGGGAAATAGATTAGCAAATCAGTTGGAGTTACCAGCTGGATTTAGATTTCATCCAACAGATGATGAGTTGGTGAATCATTACTTGATTAAGAAATGTGGAGGCCAATCAATTTCTGTTCCTATTATTGCTGAGATTGATCTTTATAAGTACGATCCTTGGCAGCTTCCAGGTAATTTTTTTTTTTGAAGTTTTAGTTGTGTAGTTTGAGATTATATTTGAGTGATTGATTCGATTTGGACAGAAGGGTTTGGTTCAGATTTCTTAATTCTTCAAGATTTTCATTCAATTTTTAATGAAAAAGAGGTTTTTTTGGATGAGATCTTCTTTACCATTTATTTTCCCAGTGATAAATAGTAAAATGGATATTCCTTTAGCTTCATACAATTACATTTCACAGATAATAAACCCAGAAAATTTCCAAAATCTTCTCAGCCATTCACAATTTTCTCTGGTTGCTTATCAATTTGTTTAATATTTTTTATTTTAAGATATTTATTAATCTAAACGATTGGACGGGAAAAATGTTAAATGGGCTTATTGAATTTTATTTGTTGACTAATAATTTCTTGGCAATTAATTTTGTGCAGAAATGGCACTATATGGGGAGAAGGAATGGTACTTCTTTTCTCCAAGGGATAGAAAATATCCAAACGGTTCAAGGCCGAACCGGGCGGCTGGAACCGGGTATTGGAAAGCAACCGGAGCAGATAAACCCATTGGTCGGCCCAAGCCACTAGGCATAAAAAAAGCACTTGTATTTTATGCTGGTAAAGCTCCTAAAGGAATCAAAACCAATTGGATCATGCATGAATATCGCCTTGCTAATGTCGATAGGACTGCCGGGAAGAAAAATAACCTGAGGGTAATTACTTTTTTCCATTATTCTCTCTATAATTTTTTGTAATAATCCCTACGTTTATCTTCTGGGTCAAAGTCTTCTTCTGATGCAATGCCCCAGGAACTATCGTTTAACATGCTCGGACAATTAAGATTGGACAATCATGAATGTGGGGTGGTGATGTTAAGTGTCTTTTTAATTATAATTTAGTGTAATTGACGTGGTTTCTCATGTGTTATTGCAGCTTGATGATTGGGTATTATGTAGAATATACAACAAGAAAGGAAGCATTGAGAAGCATTTTCCTTCTGAAAGAAAATCAATAGCAAAGTATCCAGAGATGGAAGAGCAGAAGCCCAACATCAGTGAAATGTCTGACTACCATAATGGAATGTCACCAATTGCAGCACCTACAATGATGATGAGTCATAGCAATGACTTCTTACATATGGACACATCTGATTCAATTCCAAGGTTGAATACAGACTCCAGTAGTTCAGAGCACGTACCGTCACCTGAGGTCACATGCGAGAAGGAGGTTCAGAGTCAGCCAAAATGGAATGATCAGCTAGATAATGCCTTCGATTTCAACTTCAATTACATTGATGATGGCTTACAAGATTACCCTTTTGCTTCACAAGATCAGTTCCAATTGGACCAGCTCTCACCTTTGCAGGACATGTTCATGTATTTACAGAAGCCATTTTGATTTTAGTTACAGAAAAAAGAAAGAAAAAGACTAGGGTTCTTGATGTGTGCCCAGTGGCCATTTCATTTTAGTTTCATAGGTAGAAATAGTATAGAACATTGTTGTATTCTTGCATGTGGCCCAGGACAATCTTTGTCTGGAGTCTGCAGATGTAGGTAGACATTTGAGTTGAAATCTTGGGGATTGATGAGTGTCAGAATATATATATATATCTTGGACGGAACCCAGGGCTACACAGCCACTTTCAAGAGCCAGATTGCAGGGAAGAGTGTTAAAAAAACTTGAGATTTTCAATCGAGCGCAGCCACTTTCAAGAGCCAGATTGCGGGGGAGGGTGTTAACTTGATATTTTCAATCGCTCGCAGTCTGGATTCAAACCCCTTTTACCTATTGATGATAATTGCCAGTGCCAGTGTCCAAATCTGACATGGGAAGGAGGAGAAGGAATAGGGTGGACTGGGATGTATTGTAAGAAGCTGGTGATCGATCAAGGGTGATAGAACATGGTTGAATTAATTAGCAGTACTCATGTTAATATGTAATTGTAACCATTCTTGTAGGGATTGGACAAGAATTTGTTTCATTAATTAAAAATTAGTGACATCCAAGAAAGTCTGCAGTGCCTGTGGTTGCTTTTAATCTTAACAATAATTATCATCTTTCTTCTAACATGCAAGTGTAATGATTCGCATCGGAAATTCTTGACTGTACAGGACTTTATATCATTATTCGAAAATTAGTGAAATTGAAGGAAGTCAAGAATATTACAAGTGACCTGCAGTTGTTTTTAGTCCAGCTGTTTTAATCTCTTGTCCTGCTTAAAAAACAAAGAAAAGAATAAAAAGAGACTGCAAGTTACTGTGATGTGATGGTGACGGGTTATGGGGGATATGAACATGGAGAATAAGCCAAAAATTATGCTTTCATGTAGCTTGACGGAAAATTCAACGTTTATTTCACTCGGAAAATGTAATTCATACGATTTTGTGTAACCTGCAAGGTTTGAAAACTGTGGCCAAAGAAGAAAAACATCGTTGATCTTGCCTCCCTGCAAACTGGTTTGTGGAGTTGGTTCATCCATAATCATAACTGTCCATGTTGACAGTTTTGTCAAATTGTAACCCAAAAGAAATACTATCTTCTTATTTTCAACACAAGCCAGCAGATGGTTGGTGCAGAAATGATAAGATCTGGAAAGACTATATAGAAAAATATAGATTTTTCTCTGGTCGAGGAGTTATGCGTCTGAGTTGTACTTGTAGAATAAATTCTCCTCGAATAAGAGATAATCCGATTTTTCAATTCTTATTTGAGCTTTTATCAAAGTGACAAATAGGTATAAATTCAATAAGGTAAAAATAATATTTTTGAATGTGTTTTTTATACACCGAAAAAAAGATAAGTGTAGTGTTCTTGGATAATAATCATGGATTTTTCTCTCTCTGAAAATTGAATGATACATACTTTGAAAAATATCTAAAAAATATCTAAAAAATATTCTATATATTAATAGTAAATGAAATTATTCCATGCTAAGAAAAAAAAATAGCTTAGTGGGGAGGGACTATGACCCAACTGAGCTTGACGCTTGGATATTTGGTTGGGATGCTAATCGAGCATCAATGTCTTTTTTATTTATTTATTATTATTGTATTATCAGATAAGAATTTACCAAATTCAGAATTTAAAGATACAAGGGAAATGAAAATAATTTGTAGGACTCATTATTTTATTAAATTTTCATAACCCATCAAGTATAATTATGGGGTTTGATTCACCCGACCCCATATACATAGTATTACTTTACAAGGAATTTGCTGTAATGGTGGAAGAATACAATATTACAGCTTAACAGCTTTCTGTACAGGACAATTTTTTTTAACCTGTCATCAAATGATAATGCTTCTGGATCTAGGAAGCCTGTCGCAATTTCCAGGTGCCCATCCAATCAGTTGCTTCTCATTGTCATAAATCACCACTCTGTCTTGCATTGATATGTCTAATAAAGCCACGAGAAAGGAAATTGTAAGGAATTTTAAGCCATGTGGTAGGATGATTTTCTCGATATTTCAAGCTACGCTCTAAATTATACAGAAAACATTACCTCCAATGACATTCAGATCATTCAGACCTACTTCTGTACCATTTAGAATTCCCAAGCAAGCGTTTCCCTTGGACTGGAAAAGATTTTGCCAACATTCATTGAAACACAAAGGCTCATTATGGCTGCATCAGAGATTGAACTTGAAAACAGGTGGTGGAAAAACTGTTGAAGGGTGGACTTACTGATATTATAAGATAAGCTTCTGGTGGGAATTCAAGCTGAGTTTTAGATTTTCCACCATTCATAAAGCTCAACGCAAAGGTCTTGAAGTATTTCTTGACATCACGAACACTTTCGAAAGGTTTCCATCCTTTCCAGCAAATTGGAAGCGTATGATCATCCAGTGCTTCACTCAAAAACTTCTTGGATAATTCTCCCTTTATCTGAAAGAAACATGGCATGAATGCATGAAATTCAGCTATAAAGGATGGTTTCATTGGGAAGTAATCTGAGCTTCAAGCCAAATTGAGTGAAAATTCAGTTTCAAGCATTGAGAAATGTAGTGTAAAATTAAGGTGATGATGACATACTCTGCTCAGGTTGCACCAATGCAAATGTCAGGCTCTTAGTTCGTAATGTTACTCCATGTTTGGCTTATTTTATGAGAATTTTTTCTACTTACCAGAGAAATTAGACCTTGATACGCCTGAGAATTAAGGTAAGTATAAGAGGCCCCGCTGTCAAAAGCTATGATCAGGTTTTTGAACCCAGTAGTTTTCCCATCAAATGTCAATTCAGCGAATCCGGGTGAATAGTATTTCCTGCTATGCACAATGTGGATTTACCATAAGAAGATGAAGATCTGAACTATAAAAGCTAAACTTCGAGAAGATGAAAGGAAGTTCATGAGGCCTAATTACGCATTGGGTGACATTGGTGTCCAAACTACACGAGATGAATCATAAAGATCATCCCCGAAGAAGAGGAATCCTCCACCGCGCCCACTCAAACAGTGTCCAATCACATTTCTCACTAAACCCAGACCACTAAGCTGTGATACAATGCTAGGTTTGCCCCGGCCAAGACCAAGCACTCCGTCTATGGGGTGATAAGTCCCACTTGGATGCTGAACATATCCACAACTGTTCGAGGAGAAAACGAATGGAGAGAGCAAATGATTTAGATTATGCATGCTTGCCAACCAAATGAAAAATGCATCGAGAAAGAAAGCAAAGAAAACAACCCAAGGGCCAGAAGAGGACTCTGGTGCTTTTCACTTGTAAAGTTGAGATTAAAGGCATCCTTGACAAGGATGCCAAATGATGATCCACCATCAGCATACACAACCTCATAGTAACACGGCCCTGGGTTTTCACCTCCTTTGTCACTACTGGTGCGCAAGTATTGACAAATAGGGTCACTCCAAGCCACTAGATTGTTACTGGGTTTGTAATATGGATGGGGAGCCTGTCAATGAAAAGTAATCACATTACTTAGTTATTGAAAGATCATAAAATCAAGCAGAGTATATCGAAACTACTTAGAATCACATGCAAGTTTGGAATACAATGATAGTTGCAAGATCGAAAACAAACTATAGAGCAAACGCTGAGAAATTTGCCTTTGACGGAGCAGCAGAAGTTTACAGATTTACCATAAAACAAGTAACAAAACTATGTTGAAACTAACCACATCAATCAAATCTGGATAAACAAGTTGTAGAATTATACAATAATTCCATCCTTCAGGTTTAACTTAAGCCTAGGGATAAGATATTTAGACACCATGGTGACCGTGCATGCATTTCATCATGTGATTAACATCATGAAATGAATGCTAAATTAATTCTTTTTCCATAAACTGTTAATAAACTGGTTGGACAAAACAGAGAAAACATGTCATAATTATTTTTACCTCTGTGCATTGGGAACGGGGAGTGTCACATTGGAGATATGTAAGATCACTCCCAGTATCTACATCGAGAAAGTAAGGTTTTGATGGTTGACCAATGTTGAGGGTCACATTATAGAACCTGCACAATGAAACTCTGTAATTTTAACAACAAACGATTGAATTATGCAGTTACAATCCGGACTCCAGATGAAAACAAAACTCCTAGACTTATTGCATAGTTATCCATGAAGGTTATGAAATCTCAATTGATAGAACTGGAAAGAGTTAAAGACAAATAAACTCCTACGAGAAAATATTGGAACCATGAAACATAGTTAAATACTATGGAATCATACTTGGCAAAAAATTAAAAAACAACAAAAAAAAGAGTCGAAGCCCATTTCAGTAATACGCTTACCCAATAGGATAGACATTCCCGTGAAGTGGTAAGACAATGGATGATGGAACTCTATTGATCAACATTGATGAACCTGTTGTTTCACCTGACATCATAGCCTTTCGCCATCTTTGCTGTCTGTCATCATTAGTAGCTGATGACCCTAAAATCAAAACTAGCACTAACACCCCCACTACCCAAAAACCCATCTTTTCTTTTCCCATTTCTCTATGTTTTGACCGTCACTGAATGGTTGTTTCTGGTGATTAATTAATGCAGTACAACTTATTTGATAAATGTCTGAAAGAAAACTAGGACTTTATCAATTCACTTGTATTGATTGATTTGTAAGAAGCCCGTATGCGTCCAAAGTTGTTTTTATTGACATAGTGGCTTTTGCTTGATGATTAAGGATTCATGGGTATTGCTTGGTTCTTGGAATCTTGACTTAATTACCAATTAAAAAAATGAGATTTCTTCAAATGTGATTGTTAAAGATTCTTTTATTCTTTTCCTCCAGTGAGATAAGAGGAACATGTTGATGGATTTAGGACTAATACTTTTTTGAGAATAAATATAAAGGCAACTAAAAGAATTTGCAGCAAGTTAAGGTATATAAATTGCCTCTTCATCTAAGCACAAACATAGTTGTGTATAATTAATGGCAAGGCATATTCAGATGCTCTGGTTTAGCTGAATTATCATGGCAACTTCATGGGAACTTCCATGAGAGGGACATTAGAAATAAAGCCAAATCAATAAAATGGAATGGTATAGTCTTCACCTCCATGGTGGCTTGCCTTCCACCTTCCAAGCTCGAGGATTTAGTCATGAAGGCTTCTCTTATGTTTCATGAGCAAACCGTTATTCATCATTTTAATTGTGTTTTTTTTTCCTTTATAAAATGTCTTCATTTTTAGCCAAATTTTATGCTTTTAAAAGGGTATACTGAGTATTAGAAAGAATTAACAGTCAACTTTACTGAAGCTATTAGCTTATACATTTCACAATTAAAAGGAATAACTTTTAAAATCATAAGCAAATAGGTTTTAAATTTTAATTTACTATTGTTTCTCGTGAGTTGACAAGTTGATATACATCTAATATGTAAATTGAAATTAAAAATTTTAAAAATAATAAAATTAATCTTGACTAATGTAGAATTAATAAATTCTATTAAAATTATAAAAAATCATACATTTACACCTAAATTTACAAGTTTATAATTTTCTCTTTTTTTAAACACCTGTTTTGGGATCGACTCTGTACATGAAGTTAGTGGGGCTTTTGTATTAGATGCAATTCACTTGTTTAGGGTAGGGTTGTTGCATGTTCCCTAGCTGCATTGTTTGAGAATATAGTAGATATTATATTTTAAAGTATTTTTTATTTTAAAATAAATTAAAAATATTTATTATATGTTTAAAAAATTATTTTTGATATCAACAAGATTTAAAAATATGAAAAAAATTAATTTAAAGCTAAATAAATCTTATAAATGCTGTTCAACTAGAATGCTAAAAATTTCCAATCTTACCTTTTTCTTTGCATTTTATCAACATAAATCAGAAGGTAAACAGACTTTCTCAGTTAAACTATTAAAGAGTTACGAGTCTAAGTTGTACTTGTAATTCTCCTGGAACAAGCTATGCTTCGATTCTTAAATTAATATTTATAATTCTCTTAAAATAAGAGATATTTCAATATTTAAATTAGTATTTGTAATTCTCTTAGAAAAAGAGATACTTTGATTCAATTTTTAAGTTTGTATTTGAGTTTTATTTTCAAGTGATAAATAAGTATAAATTCAAGAATATAAAAATAATATTTTTAGAGAGAAAAAAATTAATATGTTCTCCATGTATCATATTGAGTGTGTGTTCTATGTGCATTGAAAAGAAGATAAGTATAGTGTTCTTGGATGAACAATCATATGGATTTTTTTATTTTTAAAAATCAAATAATATATAGTTTGAAAAATATCTAAAAAAAATACTATATATTGTGAAAGCAAGCTAGCACATCCAACTAAGTCCAAAACAATAGGTACCAATTTAGTGCCTAAGTGAAAAACAATGGGCACCAATTCGGTGCCACTTGCAGCACCAATTGGTGCCTTTTTTTTCTTATGCATGGATGCTTGCCTATAAATAGGCAAAGCACCCAAGCCTTAATACACACACTCAAGAGAGAAATAAGAGAGGAAGAGTAGAGTAAGAGAGGGAAAATAATCCCATAAAATTGTGAGAATTTGTGAGAGAGTAAGTGAGGTGTTTTCTCCTATTATTAGAGAGATTTCAGTTGTTCTCCTATTAATAGAGAGAGGTTGTAATTCCCACATTACTTAGTAAAATCCTTCTATACTTGCCTGTGGGCGTAGCCTAATTTGGGTGAACCACGTAAATTCTAATGTGTCATTTCTCATTTTATCCGCTCCTTTACCTTTTATCTTGTCGGGTTTGCATGTTAGTATCCTAACATTGGTATCAGAGCTTTTTGGTTGGTGTTGTTAATACACAAAAAATTATTCGTGTATACTATTACTATTCACGGCTACGACACTATTCACCTATACAACATTATTCATCCATATGGTACTGTTCACATACGTTACTGTTGGCGTATATAGAAAGTCAGTGCGGTGATTAAATACAGTCTAGGAAGTTCTGTCTAAGGAGATTAGGTTTTAAACGGGACCATTTGTGACCCCTCCAATCTTTCCTTGTAACTTACTTAGTGAAGTATTATTCACAAGATACTATTTCTGTATACGTTACAGATCTGTGAAATGGTGATAGTTGAATAGATCTTGGTGAATACAATGGCAGTAAAGTATGAGATTGAGATATTTAATAAGAGCAATTTCTTACTATCGAAAATGAGAATCAAGGCAATCTTAAGGAAAGACAATTGCTTGGCAGCAATTGGGGATCGGCCCGCGGAGATCACTGAT